GACAGTATTGGAGTGGATTCAGTCAGATTCCTGTCGCTATAAGGTGTTTGTCGGCACTTGAGTCGCCGAAATTCAAGAATTGACAGACCACAAAAACTGGAGATATGTCAATACTCAGGACAATCCAGCAGATGACATAACAAGAGGGAAATCTCTTCTCAGTCTGCCCGCACCAAGTCGTTGGAGTCAGGGGCCTGCATTCTTGAAACAGAGCTCAAGACACTGGCCTAGAGCACCTGAAGTCACACTATCGGAAGGAGTGTCAGAACTCAAGAAGGTAGCTTGCTATCACCTGCAAGTTAAACTCTCTACATCACTCCCTGATGTCACCAAATTCGATACCTGGCAGCAATTAGTGGAAGCGACTAGGTCAGTTCGTCAAGGAGTAGCCCCAACCGACACAGAGTCTATGACTAACAGAGAAGCAGAAGCTATTCTGATCAGAACATGCCAGGCCCAGAGCTTTCCAGAAGAGATATCAGCCCTCAAGGCGAAGAAACCCATCCCTGCACAGAGCAGGTTGAGCAGTCTGGCTCCAGAATGGGATTCGTTCACCAACATGTTGAGAGTTGGGGGACGATTAAGAAGACTTGCAGGTGCAGATGAACAACAGATCCATCCTATAGTTTTGGATCCACAACACCCTATAACGAAGCTTATCATTAAAGACTTTGATCAACGTTTGCTGCACCCGGGGGCAGAGAGAGTTTATGCTGAAATACGGAGACAGTATTGGATCCTGAAGGGCCGTCAGGCAATCAAGCATCATCAACATAGCTGTCTCCTTTGCCAGAAATGGAGAGCTCAGCCAAAGGTTCCTATAATGGCCGATTTACCACCAGAACGCCTTTGTCTGCTCTGTCCAGCATTCTATTCGACAGGCGTTGATTGCTTCAGCCCCTATCTGGTCAAAGTAGGAAGGCGGAATGAGAAACGTTGGGGTGTAATATTTAAATGTCTCACCACACGAGCGGTGCATGTTGAACTCCTTAACTCTATGGATGTTGATGCCTTCCTGCTCGGACTCCGCCGGCTCATAGCCAGACGAGGCAAACCTAAGGAGATGCTCTCAGACTGCGGTTCCAACTTTCGAGGTGCAGAAAGGGAATTAAGGGAGGCTTTCACCAGTATGGAGCCTGACCTTCAGGCACAGCTTGCAACCTATCAGATCACCTTTAAGTTTAATCCACAACTGAGGTGTAAAAGATGGACTGTTTATACCGTATGGCGTCAGTGCATTTATAATAATAAATAAAAGCCAGAACATTTGTATCTTTAAGTGTCAGGAAGCATCATTCATAAATGTACAGATTTTGTTTGTTTGTTTGTTTTTATTGAATTACCTCTGACTTCACATGCCCTGCTGTAGCTATACACGGACATACAGAAAGCTAAGTGGAACATGCACATGACAGAGAACAGGCAGGTCACACAGTGGTATAGGTTCACATCATAGCATTCTGCCTGTTACGCTTTCAAGCACATGACTAGTGAGCTTGTTCAAGTGTACTGTATACAGTATATATGTGCATGTGTGAATGTCAGTATGTATATTTGTGTGTCAGACACTGCAGGAGGGCTACAAGTGTGATAAATGGAGATGAAATGATAAGGAAATCAAAAAACTGTGAGAGAGAAGAAAAGAGCAGCTGTATTGAGATCAATGCTAACACAGCATGCATGCAAGCAAGGGTTACATGCTAAAAGCTAGCATGCTAACTGTATAAGTCAGTTTGAACATGTTAAAAAAGTGAAGCCTGCCCAACACCAAACAGCAGACAGACAGTGAATGACTGGCCAGGAGAGCACAGTAGAGAATTTAGTAGCTAGTGTGAAGACTAGTTCAATCAGTTGGTCAGGACAAAAACAAAGCTAGCAGAGTGGGCATTACAATAATATTACAAGTGGATTCCTGTGTTGTTTGTGTCATTCACGAGAATTCATATATGCAAGCTCGTGCCAATCCAATACATGTTCCTGATGCCAGTTTTACACTATTCCAGTAGTGACTGATAGTTGGCAGCAGTAATGCCCAAAAAAGGAAAGCAATGTGCCAACAAGGGCAGGGATTATCATGTAGAAATTACAGGAATGTTACGTTATTAATGCTCTTTCCCACTCTTTCTCTCTTGCAGGATCGGCGACGCAGCTGATCTGCATCATCTGATTGTCCACTCCCTGGGTGTAGGGCACGGCTGAAGCTCATCCCCGCTGATCAAACCGTCCCTATATAAAGTGCTGGAAGACGCTCCTTCGTCGCCAGATCATTGATGTTGATGATGATAATGTTAATGGTGACATTGACGGTGAGATCAAGATTTTATGTTGGATGCGGTCACACAAGTTGGCTATCTTCTCCACTCTGCTTACCTGACGGCGATCACTACTCTGCTTACTTCAGGCAATTGCTACTCGGCTCACCTGCCCTGTCCTCTGGTTCCTGTGTCCCTCCTGTCATCTCACCTGCTGTCGGCTCACCTGCACTGTCCATCCTGGTCCTCTGATCCTCCTGGTTACTGCTACTTGCCTGCCCGACCTGGTCTTCTCAGCCTCCACTGCTCAACCCTGGGTTGGACCACGCTAACCCCATTGACTGTGTTTTATTTCTACCACTTTTTTCTGTAATAAAGACTCTTTGTGTACTAGCAGCAAGTTTGCACCCAGAGTCCTCCCTCTCTCTCTCACCTCCGGGTGAGGGACACCCAACCTTAACAAGAAAAAGACAACTAGCAAACAAACACAAATGTAAACAACCCATGATTTAAAATGCTGGAAAACTGGGCTCTACAAATATTTTTGGAGAAGAAATGCAATGCAGCTTTAATTATCACCAAGTGTGTAATATGTATATTCTGATACTAAGACATACTGTATATTGGAGTATGCATGATGTATAAAAACTGCTTCAAACAAATTTAAAAATGCTACACTAATATATCTTCTGCCATTACAACAAAGATAACTCATTCAGTATCACCTCCACAGTGTCATCACCTTGCCCAAGCACTGTTCTGAGTTGTTCTTCTCTATTTGTTTGAGTAATGTTAGGTTATTTCTTAGTTAGATATTCAGAAATTTGTTGTCTAGGAATGTTTAGTGCAGACAGGTTGACTAGCTCAGGCTGTTAACTGTTCAGCCTACAGTGCAGACTGCAGGCACGTCAAGGTTACAGGAAAAGAGCTGTTAGGGTCAACTGTAATGCTAGTCTTAATATTTGTCTTAATGTGTAAGGTTATGTCCAATTGTTTTAGATACACACCACGAAAACAACAGTCACGCACCTTGACTTTTCCTCATGTTTTGGCTAACGTTATAAACGATAGAGCAGCTGCAAAGCTTGCTTATCGGGTGGCGTCACGGTTTGACGCCCCTTGTAGCATGGGCTAGCCCAAAAATGAATAATATTATATAGGTTGTTGGGTCCAGACGGTTTCAGCTTTCTGCTGCCTGCGCGCAGGTAGAGGGGTGAGAGAGCTCTGGACGTGTAATGTGAATTTTACCTGTGATCCTCTGAATAAACCAGCACGGTTATTTTTTATAAAATCTAAAGCAGTCTCCTTCGTCTCATTGAGAGTTCCTGGTTTGAAAGAACCGGAAGAAGCTACAGAGAAATAATAGCTTATAGTAAGCTTGTTCCTATTAGAAAGGGCCATTATTTCATGCTTTGTTTTGAAGAGACCTCCATGATGGCCACTTTATCTTGCCACCATAAAGAGCAGGAGCTTGCAGGGACAGCCAAGCTTTCAAGTTCAACATCCCTCACTTCGTGTATAAGGCATGGCTTGAAGGCACAGCTTTCAGCTTAACTCAAAGCCCAAATGCTCTATGGTCAAGACAAAGCAATAGATCAGGACCCTTGGAACCTTTGATGGACTGCTGTTTCCTGCCTCTACGGTAAACCGTACTCATTTCCCCTGTTTTCTGTATTTGCACTGCGTTGTGCTTGCTTCCAGATTGTTTAGGAATTAAACTCACTATTTTCTAGGTTCATTTGAATTTTTGAGTAACAACATACGCTTGCACCACTTAAAGCACTTGTTTTGCAGAAGTTCTTGCTAACTACCAAATTTAACTTGCTACTTTAGGTCGGCTAGTTTAGAAGCTAGCTACGCTAGTAGCTTAATCGAGAGCAATGGCTTCCCCCTCTTCCTCTCCTCCTTTCTCTTGCTTGGAATGTCGCATGTTCAGTTATTCCTCTGCCTCCTTTAGTGATAATGGTACTTGTAATAAATGTCAGATGCTAGCAGCATTGGAGGCGAGGCTCACAGACTTAGAAGCGCGGCTCCACACCATGGAGAATAGGCCAGCTAGATATGTCCATTTAGCCGGTGTGGAGCATGCTAGATGTAGCTTAGCCCAAGCTAGCCGCCCCCCACAGCTGCCCGAGCAGCCGGGATCTCAGACAGGTGGCTGGGTGACAGTTCGCAAGAGTCGTAGCTCCAAAC